TCCGATGACGAAATCATCACCAAAAAGAAAAACTATAGCGATACAATTGGACAAAATCGAAATCTTGCACCATATAAAAATGCTTATTAGCGGGGGTCAGCCGTACAACAGATCCCGGCCCAGCCCAAGTTGTATGACATTTTGTACTTTTATTATTGTTGTTATTATTATTATTATTATTCTCTGTTTTATGAATAAAAAGAAGAGAATATTGGAATCAAGAAATTTGTTTGATGTGAGTTCACTTATTAAGAATGTCAGAGTTTTTGGGTATGTCGGTAGCGTCGTGATTTTGGGGAAGTCGGGATATTGGGCGGCACCCAAAAATAATACTGTGCTTTCAATGTGAGCATAGGTTTTCGTATCGAGTAAAAGATGTAAATTGTTCAAGAGAGAAGATTGCGAAGGAATTTTCATTTTTTAAGAGAATAAAAAAGAATTTATTCTTGGTGCCTAAATTTATCACAATCCATCTATTGTCATTATATCATCATCGTATCGCATATCGATATATCATAATCCATCTATTGTCATTATATCATCATCGTATCGTATATATCATCATCGTATGACGTAAAAAAATTTTTCCCATGATTCAAGTTAATGAAAAAATTTTTTATATAAAAATTGGTGACTTCTTTAATCAAACTAATTAGATGTTAATCAAACTACCAATTACTAAATTATTTAGAAATGGCGAATATGGTAAAAATAAATTTATAATTTATAATAATACTCATAAATAAGTAGGTTTATATTTTATTTTTAATAGAGTAATAATCGATCTAGTAGAGCTAATAAGCCTCAAGTATTAACTCCAGATGATGAAGAATTAACATGGACGCTACTGAAGGCTTGATTTGTCATTTATGAGGAAATCATAATAAATGTTGTCCCGAAGTTTTCTGGATCGTAGAAAATCCAGATCTGAGCTTATCAACTCTAAATCTAATTAATGCAGATGAAAATCAATGCAAACGATTATTAGAATTTCTCAACAATACGTACTAGTTATAACGGAGCATTTAATCATTTAAAGCTATATTATACAGAAAGCAAATAGATTATCCAAAATCATTTGAGCTCGTCATGCACTTTCAATTATTCACAACAATAATAGTTTTGTAGAACTTCAATATTCTGTTCGTGAAGCAGGCAATTTGATTATCAGGATGAGAAGAGCTTGCTTGGTATCTGGAAATATAGAGAACAAAAAAGAAATGTTAATATTGAAACAATTAAATTACGAAATGATAAAAGAATTGAAAAAATTATCAATAAAAAAAACAATTAGAAGGTTTTGATTACTCGCAGGTAATATAATAATTTATAATAATAGCTAAATATAGTTTCTAATTTTATTTTGCTTTTAATAGTTTTAGTTCCATATGGTTTGCGAACTCAAGAAGAACTTCTAAACAGCAAATTTAAACCTTCCTTTGCTCCATTGATAACTGCATTCAAGTCATTATCTCTCAAATGTGTGGCATGTCAATCTTTTCAAAAAAAGTTCACTAATGGACTATGTGCACTATGTGGTTACCTATCAAAGCACAACTTATTTAATCAGTTAATATCCGAATCGAATTGGGAACCTAATATCATTACTGAATTTTTTGGATTTGAAGAATATCGTGAAAAACATCGAGAAAGTATATTATCTTTTTTATCAGATCATGACATGCTAACCATATTAAAAACTGGCGGCAAGAGTCTATTTTATGCAATTGTAAGTATATTATCATAAAGATTAACTGTCGTATTTACTCCCCAAAAGGCATTAATGGATGATCAAGTGGTAAGCTAACAATAATTTACAATAAATTAATATATATTTATTTAACAATTCTTTTATTTACAAAGCGAGAAATGGTAGGGATGGGAATACCAGCAGCAATGTTATATGCTTCTTTAGAACAGCCACTCCTAGTACAAGATCTTTGCTGAAATTGCAAGTGGATTAATTTTTATATTATTTATTACGCCAGAAAAGTACATAAAAAATGTCAAATTTCGCATTATGTTAAAAAACATTTATAATACTCGAGGTCTTCAGTTCGTTATTGATGAAGCACATTGTGTGGTTCTTTATGAAGGATTTCGGTAAGTTAGATCATGCAAATTTTCTAATGTTAACAATAATTTATACTTACAAACTCTAATATATAAAAGAAATGCATGGAGGGAATCAGGCATTTTAAAGCATGATTTTCCAGCTGCTCCTCTACTTGCCCTAACAGCTAGATGTTCACCCGCCAATATGAAAATTATTCAATCAGTTCTGGAAAAATGTAGATGACATTATCTTGGTTATCCACACAACTTTACCAATGTCACATGAAGAATATATTCGAGAGATGGACAAGCAGGTCAAGAATCTAAGGCAATATTATTTTACTCACGAAGTGAGATCTGTACATTATTAACAATTTTGAATGGGGACAAGAAAGGTAAAATTTTAATATTAATATAACTGTTTAATTTTCACATAGTGCGCATAGTCCATTAGTAAACTTTTTTGAAAAGATTGACATGCCACACATTTGAGAGATAATGACTTGAATGCAGTTATCAATGGAGCAAAGGAAGATTTAAATTTGCTGTTTAGAAGTTCTTCTTGAGTTCGCAAACCATATGGAACTAAATCCTTTAAAAGCAAAATAAAAATTAGAAACTATATTTAGCTATTATATAAATTATTATATTAATCAAAACCTTCTAATTGTTTTTTTTTATTGATAATTTTTTCAATTCTTTTCTCATTGCGTAATTTAATTGTTTCAATATTAACATTTCTTTTTGTTCTCTATATTTCCAGATACCAAGCAAGTTCTTCTCATCCTGATTTGAAAAATTAATCAAATTGCCTGCTTCACGAACAGAATGTTGAAGTTTTACAAAACCATTATTGTTGTGAATAATTGAAAGTGCATGACGAGCTCGAAATGATTTTGGATAAGCTATTTTCTTTTCTGTATAATTTAGCTTTAAATGATTAAATGCTCCATTATAACTAGTATGTATTGTTGTTGTTATTAAGCTTTGATATTCTTTAGATTTCATAATTTTCTTAAGAAATTCTAATAATCGTTTGCATTGATTTTCATCTGTATTAATTAGATTTGGCGTTGATAAGCTCAGATCTGGATTTTCTACGATCCAGAAAATTTCAGGACAACATTTATTATAATTTCCTCATAAATGACAAATCAAGCCTTCAGTATGCGTCCATGTTAATTCTTCATCATCTGGAGTTAAAACATGAGGATTATTAACTCTACTAGATTGATTATTACTCTATTAAAAATAAAATATAAACCTACTTATTTATGAGTATTAAAAAATATACCTTATAAATTCTAAATTTATTTTTTACCATATTCGCCATTTCTAAATAATTTCGTAATTGGTAGTAGTTTGATTAACATCTACCTCGGCGTAATTAAGAGTTTTTAGGTATGTCGGTAGCGTCGTGATTTTGGGGAAGTCGGGATATTGGGCGGCACCCAAAAATAATACTGTGCTTTCAATGTGAGCATAGGTTTTCGTATCGAGTAAAAGATGTAAATTGTTCACGAGAGAAGATTGCGAAGGAATTTTAATTTTTTAATAGAATTTAAAAAGAAATTTATTCTTGGAGCCTAAATTTATCACAATCCATCTATTGTCATTATATCATCATCGTATGGCGTAAAAAAATTTTTCCCATGATTCATATGTTAATGAAAAATTTTTTATATCATATATTATATGTTCTAAAAAATTCATAAAAAAATTGGTAACTACTTCGACATTCTTAATAAGTGAACTCACATCAAACAAATTTCTTGATTCCAATATTCTCTTCTTTTTATTCATAAAATAGAAAATAATAATAATAATAATAACAACAACAATGATAAAAGTACAAAATGT